CTGATAGGCCTGACGGAGCTCTCGTATGACATCATCATCTAGTGGGCGGAGCCGAGATGATAATCACACACTTATTATAAAGTCATACTGAAAGTCGATTATACACACATTCACAAAGAGCAACAACAAACCTCCACCCGAGATCTCTGACTACCATTATCCAGCACCGAATGCTGGCAAATCCTCCATATACTTCAGTTTGAGCATAATAACAATAATTTGGATCGGCTCTGGCACTCAAAAAAGACACTTTAAAAGTAGCTATTTCAGTCAGACGTGTTTCCTCTGTCAACTGTCAGCTGAAAATTGAGTGGTTTGAAACAAAACTGCACTTGACTGTGCTGTTGAACCACTAGTGGTTAGAATTAGTTTATCTAGCAAACATCCTACCTAAACAGCATGTTACTACTGCTCATTTGCACAAAGTGACATCACCAGTAGTTTGTTTGAAATGAATGACTTTAGGTCGCTACAAACTGCTGGCAGTGTGATCGCCCCTTGGGTCCCTCATATGGGATAAGGAAATCCCAGAATGCACTGCGATAAGCCCAGTCAAAAAAAAAAATGTTGATCAAAAAGTAAATACTAAAAGACTAACCTATTTAAAAATGTACTATTGTATAAATAAAACACTTATTATATCATGCTAATGTCTTGAATACTTTCTTTAACCATTTCAACCTAGTAAAAACCTATTAAAAAATTAAAGGATTTAAAAGACTTTAAGGGAATAAAGAAAAGCAAGAAGACCAGGAAAAGAGTATAATTTATTGTATGGTATGATGTAATCAATTTTTCTAAAACTTGCACACTTTCTCTCATTTATCGTACACCTAATTTTCAGAAAAATGCTTTGTTAATTTTTTGTGTTGTCTCACATGAATCAAAAGCCTATACTTTAAATTCAAAACTGCAACAAAATTTGCACACAAAAAAAAGTTGAGTAGCTTGAATCACTAGGTATTACTGTTGGTCATTTAACATGCCTGTTGTGAAACAACTGTCAAATATTAAATGTCTTTTGTACATCTTACCTCATACTAACCATTAAAACCTGAAGCGTCATGCTGGAATTCATGTTCTGTTTCTGTGAACAGTAAAAGCCCGCCTTCTTTGATTTGATTGGCCATCTCAATCATTTTGACATTGACGTGCACTGTGAGATCGCTGAGGAAGACCAGGCTAAAACTGTAACTTTCAGTCATCCAAATAACAAACAGGCTGGAAGTGCAGGAGAGCAGCGTCAAGAATATCAAATATCAGGAGAAGCAATTGGGCCAAGGTCATGGGTTTGATTCCCAGGGAGTGGATGAAGTGATAAAATGCATACCTTAAATGCAATTAAAGCCGGTTTGAATAAAAGCATCTGCCGAATTCATAAATCAGAATCTGAATCCATTTTTAAAAGTTACATTTTTAGGCTGGCCTGCCTCAGCGATCTCACAGTGCTCATCAATGTCAAAATTATTGAGATGGCCAATCAAATTATAGACGGTGGGCTTGTGAAAGAGCATGAGGTAAATGTTTTAATGATGATTCCTATGCAGGCAATAGACAACAAGGCAGCTCACTAGCTTTTGAAAGAGAGCTGAAAGAAAAACCGTACAGTTTAGCATCCCACAAAGCAAAGTGACGTTTAGAAGCGCACAGACCTGCAACGAGCGTAAACAGATGGAGAGAGGCCTTACCCATCAACCCGCCTGCTCTCCAAGCCCACACGTGCAACTCGAGAGGCTATTTTACAGACAAATTACACAACGGGGCACGCTTTCCATTCGCCAACCCTTGTATCTGGCCTGCCTATTAAAGCGCCACCAGGCATTCCTCAGCACAGACTGAGACATCACGCTCTCCTGCGAAGCTAATCGTGCTTCATCCCTAACACATCAGCGATATTTTCATCTCTTCCTGTCATAAATTTTCACTGGCCCTGGCTCGGCCCGGTTAACAATCGTGCCAATTTATTGGCATATTGGCATGAGGTGGTAAGGGCTAAAAACAACAGCAGCGAGCAGCCGCTCATGGAGATGAGCTGATAACGCAGATATGAGCTCCCATACAAAACATCTCACCCTCCATCACCTCTCTATCAAACTCTTATTACGATGAGAAGAACTGAAAGAGGAGAGGGCGAGAGGGGTCTTCGATTCGCCGGGGGGGGCGGGGACTAAAACCAACACAAAATAAATATTAATAAAAAATGGAATCAGATGTAACGTTTCAGGGCCAAAAAACAAGGAGGAGAAATACATAATTTATCACTGCATTATCGGGATATCCAGGCAGCCTAATCAAGGAGCAGTGGATGACTATTTTTTGCCTTATCATCCAAAGTGGTGGAAACGGAGAGGGAATTATCAGCCGGCTGCAGATTGCTGGGTTGGAATTTTAATGGTAATAATCGCAGCTCTGATGGTATATCTCCCTGCCTTATCTTTCCCATTATCTGGTCCTATCTCACAGGCATCGGTGCAAATTAATGGTGCTTTTTCAGCACGGCCTTTTTATCATTGCTCAGAGAGCACCCAAGGGGAGAGAATAAGCAAAATATTAAAATACTGCATAAATCACAATTTTAGATAACCGACCAACGTATGGTGGTGGAGGGGGGGTACAGTGCCCAACAACCTTTTTGTCCTTTAGAATGACTCTCGGTCTCTCTGTGCACTGGATCAGACGGTCTCTTCTTCTCTCTTCCTCTTCCTGAAGTGCCGGAGAGAGGAACTACGGGCTACGCGTGACCTTTCGGAGCCAGAGACAATACCCTGATATTATGAATACTCTAGTAACGGAGCTGTGAGAGCCATTAGATAACTCAGTTCCTGGACATCTCGGATGCATTTCAAAAGGAAATCGACGCAGATCGATTTGAATGCAAACGCCTCGGTCAACAGTTTAATGACTCGAGCTCATTTCGGGTATTCAGAAGCTGTCATGCTTGTCGAATGAGATAACAGAAAGTACCACATCAAATAAAATATGCAAAGATTGCTTTGCACTGACTGAAAGCCTTCAAACATATTTGTATTTACTGTACTGCATACTAGTACAGTCAAACAATATTTGCTCTGACAGAATACATCTCAGTGTGTCACCCAAGTGACAGGATGGTCAAAATAAAACATTTTCAAAGGAATACAGTTTTTTTTTTTTAAGTTAAATTTAACTTTATGTACATGAGCTCAATGGAAGCACGAATGATCTCATGCACACACACACACACACACACACACACACACATATTCAAACAGAAACATTTCATTTCATAAAAAGACATATGGCTTTTAGAAGTGTGCAATCTCGCTTGATCCCTTCCCTTCTCTTTGGCTCAGTTTAACCTGTTTCTAAAAAACCAACATTTCACAACAGAGGAAGAAGATTCTTCGTCCTTCCTCCCTGCGGTCCAAACACACACACACACACACACACAAACACACAGGCTGCTTCTAAAGGCCCTGACCAGCGATCGCACTTCGGCTCTTTCATTCACAAAAGATGAATGCAACAAAAGCCAGCCTATTTAATTATTGTATAAAAGACAGAGCTGCAATTTTACTGTCTGAACTTTTCACTTCGTGAGGTGCTGAAAATATTCAGGTACAATATCATAACACTGTCCTAAAAATAGGCCCTGAAAAATGGAAATGCTCAAGCTACTGATGGTGTATATTTTATGAAACACATGATTTATTTAACTCTGTAGAGCTCTGCAGATTATTCTAGGCTGAGATGTGTCATATTTATTAAATATTACATTTATTTTAGACCACAGAAATACTTTTTTGGAAGAATGCATTTAAGGAATGCAACAACTAAATAGGTTTTGTTTTTACACATTTAGACGTTGACTAAAAAAGCAATGAATTCATTCATTCTTTTTTTCTACATGCATTATCATAAATACACACACTATATTTCAGTCTTCATTAGCATGCATGAGAGATTCTGGGCGATTTTTTTCTTTTTACATCCACAGCTGACTCTAAACAGACCCTTAAAACCTTTACAAGAAACGCTGGACGTAAATCTACAGTGACCTAAAAACTGAATGAAAATTCAGCTATCATAATTTTATACAGCTTGCCAAACAACAATAACGCTATAATAAAATGTAAAGAATCAAAACATGACATTGAAATGTGATAACCAATGCATTGCCTGTTAATCGTTGAAAACATCTTAACGGTCAAATACAAAAAGACTGAAAGATGAAGACTCAAAACACTATTTACACCTTTTTAAAGAATCAGCTGAACGTCTTCAAATCTAAAACTACTTTAAACTAAAACACTGAATCAGTTTATGAGATTCTCACTACAGAATATAAAACTCTCAGCACTAAACAAACACGCATAACTATTACAAAAGCACTTCTAGAAAAAGAGTTGCATTTTATTTATTTATTTATTTTTAATTCGGTTTGATAGCCAATAATAAACTTGCAATATGCATAAATAATAAATAAAAGCAAAAATGAAAACATAATAAGCAAGACTTCAAATGTCACTATTATGAAAAACATCTCCACATGCCTCAACAAATACAAAACAAGACTGACTGTAAACAGACCCTCCTGGGGCTTTGAAAGAATCAGCTTAACATCAACTAATTTATTCAGTTTCTGTGATCAACACTACATGAAACTTTAAGAATTAAATAGCCTAAGCACGTGCATAAATATTATTGCCTACATAAGCAAAGAAGACACAACAAAACTAAATATGCAATAAGAATTAGTAAGCGCAAAATGAAAGCATAACAAACAAGTCTTAAAAAAATGTTACATTCACCATATCACGCGAAAAACAAGCCTCGGTTAAATACAAAAACACCGAATCATCAAAGAAGATTTAAAGGAGGACTAAAATAAGAACATTTGCACCTGCTGCTACTATCAGTTGTCATAATAAACTGATCTCTCTCTATCTCCCTTTCATCCAACTTTACTCCGTTTGGCTTTGAAACAAATAATAGTAATAATAATAAACAGAGTAACTTACGCTTGATTTGCCGAGGGTTGCTCTGCTTTCTGCGGGACATGTTGATCCGGATGATTACTGGTTATTAATTATTATTATAGATTATTATGAGAGGTTATTATGGATCATCCAAGAGCCGAACGGGTCGCAGAAGGAATGAGGATTATTCACAGGCTCTTGCTCTCACACACGCGTCACCCTCGCTCAGTGCTTGCGCACGAGTGTGTGTGTGAGTGTGTGTGTGTGTGTGCGTGTGTATATGTGTGTGTGCGCGGAGCTGCGGTCCGCTCGGACTGAAGGCGGAGGGGAAGGCGTTTCGCGCTTTTGTTTGAACATGAAGTTTGATCCACCGCGGTCGCCGTACACACACAATCTCTCACATATAATGCTGTTCAACTTCACTGTTCATGCGGACTATTGTTCCGAAAAGCGCTACATTCAGGCCAAATGTGTTCATTCTTTTTTTATAAAAAAAAATAAAAGTTATTTCAAAGGTTTGATAGATGGAAATCCCGAATAAAATACTTATTTACGTATTAATGACTACATTTATCGAGTATAAAGCGTTTCTATTACCTCACAGATGTCCTCAGAAGTTACACCAACAGCGGTGAGAACTGCCCGCGTTTTTCCTGCCAATCATTATCTGTGTTCAGGTTTTGTAAAGTCTGGTTGGCTGCCATTATTTGGAGGGCGGGGTTTTGAAACAGGTGTGGTTGAAGTTAGAGAGACAGATAAAGTTTTAAAGTCATCCACTGAAACTACCACGTTTAAGCATTACTTTAAATATCCTTGATTACTTGAAGTAATAATCAACTATTTATATAGAGGCTCAGCTGACAAAAACAGCAAACCCCTTTTTACGAGCGCGTCGTGACGTCTGTTTACTGTATATTTACTGTCACACACTTAATTTATGATTTTCATAAACTTGAAAAACATGAAAAGAATTGTTTAAATGCTTGAAATTAGTTTTGTGGAACTTAAAACATTTTAATACATTTTTAAAATCAAAGATAGATGAGTTTATGACAAATACAAATCTAATGTTTATATATAAATATATATATATATATATATATA